TCATAGACTGGGGGCGCGGGGGGCGTTGGTAGCCCGTGGAGAGACGGCGGTTTTGATTGGTATAGGTGGAGTGTTCGTCGGCGTATTTTGGCGCGGTTGCGCGACTTGTCTCTGGAGGAGGAAGGGCAGCAGCAGCTACAGCATGCACAGCAGCTCTTACAACATGTGTAGCCGCAGCAGGCGCACGCGATTATGCTCCAGAGTGCCCCAATCAATATGAGGCCGCCTATGATAATGCCAACGATGACGGGCCACCTGCATCGATTGATGAGCATTAGTTTTTATATATATATTTTCTCACTTTCAAAATTTCCAAAGCTTGGGAAACGTACTTGCAGTATGACTTGGCCATGCAATTATCCCAGCTAGAGAACGTTGTCCTGATATCCCTACGCTGGAGTATTGCGTCCGGGCGGAACAGGGTGAACTCCCCCAGATCCATGCCAGCCATGGCGAGGGACAAACGTCGAAGTAGAGTATTCTTTTATATGGTGAATTAAGAGGTCGTATGTATATGTACCATGTAGATACCATGCAGATAACAAGACTGGCCGATATCACAACCCGGAGCGCATTGATAATGTTTCGATCGGCACAGAATGCTCCTTTGGGGTGGGGGTCCCTGGCGGCGGTTGCAGAAAACAATTTGAAACTGGAAAAGGTCAAACGTCGTGGACAAGAGATGACGGATAGAGAGAGACGGCGAAAATAATGGACGCTATGGAAGCGAGTGAATAGTGCGAATATTGTATCTATCTATAGACCAAATTACCGCGTCCTGGAAATGTATCTGGGGTGGAAAAAAAGTGTGAAGGTATAGTCGCAGGACTTGTCATGCAGTGGGATTAGGTTGCGTAATTGGAGGCTTAGTTGTTTAGTTGCGTGGAGGAGTATTGCCGCGGTATCAAGGATGAATGAATTGAGTTGAAGAGGAGGAATAAAGTTGGAATGACAGACGTAGGTTGGGTGGATGAGAGAGAAGAAAAGGAATGGCAGAGGGCAGAGACTGAACTCAAGTCAAATGGTGATGGTTGTTGGTGGGTTGGTGAAGTCTAATAATGATCCAAAAAAAGAACAGTCTCTGTCCTAGACGGAATCGGCGGAACTATATCCAACTGCAATACGAGGCTTGAGGAGCCTCTTTCACCAGCAAATTCCACCAGAAACTAAGAATAAAAAATGCTACAGACGAAGAAAGAAAGAGTAATAATAAATGTGTAAATAAGAGAGAAGAGAGGAGAAGAAGAAGAAGAAAAAAGGTGGGAAAAGGTGAGTAGGGCCGATTAGCGAAACACTCAAATTTCCCTTGTTTCAACTCCTTTTTACTTTAGTATCTCACAGCATTCGTCTTCGTCGTCCGTCTATCTCCCCATGTGCGGTGTTTCCCCTCTTTTGCCCTATTCCTCCTATTCCTCCTTCCTGGTGCCTATTATTTTTAGCGTTTTTAAAGCCCCCAGCACTCCGATGTTTACTACTGAGTACGGAGTCTATGGTTCAACAGTCCTTCGTCACGGCAGTGCGTTGAAAGCCACGGTCTAATCTCCGCTGACGCTGCACAGAAATATAATTCTTTTCCTTTCAACATGCCAGAGGATTTAGAGGAGATAACTAACTGTGGATTTGGTGCAGCCGCTTGTACAGTTATTTTGAACTCCAATAATAATAAAAAGTGAGGTCTTTCATATCAATATCAGCCGCCCGTTCCATACACCTGTTTTGATTTCAATCTTGAAAATATAAGGGCTTGATTGATTGATTGATTGATTGATTATATCTTTAAGTTGGTGTCTGCATCCCGTAAGGGCGCTATGCAACTGGTCTCGATCTAGCCTAATTAGGTATCTTAAACAGGGCCCGGCAGGGTCTCATGTGCTGTCACACAAATATAGTTCTTCAATGCCTTGGTGTCACAAAGCAAAACAACTGATATAAACAGTATAAACAGTACAAACAGTATAAATAAGCAAATAAATAAACAGATAGATGCCTTGTAAAGGTTATTAACTAGATTTAAGTACAGATTCAAGTTATTCTTATAGAGATATAGAGAGAAGAGTTTCTATACTATTTAAATCTTCAGACTTTAAAAGTCTTTATCCTGAAGCTGAGTATATCTATAATATTGACAATAATCTGTGTAATTAAGAGTTTCTTCTTTATATTAGACTCGGTTGAGTTATTTATATTAATAATATAATAAAACTGAATAATTAGTTTAGTTTTATAAAGAAATTACACAGTCTTCTTAATCTATATCAGTGTAATCAGTACTCTGTTTAGATATAGTAAGATTAATTCTTCAGCTGTTAAAATACTTTTATAAAGTATACTGTAATTAAAGTATTTAAATAGAATATATTAAACTATTTATCTTTTCTCTTCTAAGTATATATAGTGTGAGTCTTCAATCTTCTTAATAAAGTAAAGATACTTATATAGATATATCTTATCTATTCTCATCTCTGTAAGTATAAAACTTAGATGTCTTAATAGACTCTTATAATATTTAAGTATTTTCTGTATTAATTATCAGTGTAGTCTGTTTAATACTGTTTTATAAGATAATATTTATTATCTCTCTTCTTATCTTATTCTCAGTTAATCTGTAATCACTGTCTTTCTCACTACTACTAGAGAGTAAAGTATTGAAGTCAGAGAGAGTTCTGATTTATTATATTATAAATTTAAGATACTCTCTCTTCATTCTACTATCTTCTTCACTTTATAATTAGTTATCTTATTTCTTAGAACTTCTAAGTATATTGAGATTTATCTAATCTTTATCATACTTTTAAACTTATTATATATTATAATAATAAGTGTTAGAATCTTGTGATCTGACTGTCTTACTAATATACTTACTATTTATATAATTGTTTAATTATTAGTAAAGATAATACTTCTTCTAAATAACTTCTCTAAATTCTTATAGTCTTGAATAATTTAAAGTATTATAAGTATACTGTAGAGTTTCTCTGTATAAACTATATATTAAGTATTTAACTCTAAGTAGCAGATCTTCTCTCTATTTATAAATAAGAATATTACTGAGATATCTATACACTTTATTATTCTATTACTATCAGTATATATAAGATAAGCTGTACTCAGTACTATCTTATTATACTACTTTATAATAGTTACAGTGTTAGAGACAATGTATATTTTAACTGAGATTTATTATAAAGATATTATATATACTGTTTATATCTTCTAATCTCTTAAATTATAAGAATATAGCTTTTTCTATTTATCTAGTAAATAGTATAGTAATGTAGTCAGAGTCTCCGATTTTTTAATAAAAGTACTTATATCTCTAATCTTTTAATTATTAGCTAGTCTCAGTGCAGCTGTGTTACTAAGTATCTTAAGTATTAAATCTATGAAAGAGATATTATATTTAATATTTAATATATTATCTATTACTGTTTTAAAGATATCTAAGATCTGAGAGTTATAAAGATGAGCTTAAATTATATAATCAGAGAAAGAGTCTCTTCTTCATTTTCATCAATTAACTCTGAAAATGAACTGAATTGAAATAGATTTCTTGATTGAAATGAAAATAATTCTTCAAAGAAAATGCTCTCTCAACTATACAGACTATACTCACTGATTAAAAATCAATTTTCTGATTTAAATATTGAAAAAGTTGATCATGAGAAGATATTACTCTGAAGAGAAAAGCTTGAATCTCTCATAGACTTGTAAATAAGTGAAGGCCCGGTGGCGTAGTGGTTAACTACGCTACCATGGAGCCTTAATTAGCGGCCTTCCCCCCGGGGAATGAATGTCAAGAGAGGGCAGGTTTGAACCCTGCAAGGGCCATCTTAATCACAGCTTTCACTGTTAAGTTATAAAACAGTATCAGAAGCCCCCAGGTGCACTATAGTGAATCATTGTCAAGCTTAAGATATTTATCTCAGAGAGTTCTGAGTGCTAATTCTTACTAATCTTAGAATTAACAGTTTCTCAGACACTTCAAGTTAGATCAGTACTAAAGTGATTAAGATCTAGAATATCTGTAGAATAGTGAATCATTATTAAGCTTAACTGATCAGATCTCATTTCTCTCACTCTAGACACTTACTTCTGAGAAATTGAGATTTAAAAACTATCTGATTAGAACACTCTGAGTCTAGCAAGAATCTAGATAAGATAAGATCTAGACATCATTAATAGATGATTAGTATAAGAAAGACTGTGACAGTTAATTGATAGGCTAAAATGCTGAGATTGATAGTCAGAAGATTAGAGACTTAACTAGAATTAAGTAGCTCTGATATTATTCTTAGTGAGAATCTCACTTATAAGTAAGCTAGTTACAGAAGCTAGCTGAGCAGTGACTCTTTAGAGAGAATGATAACTTCTGAAGCAGGTCTGAGAGAACAGAGACAGCAGTCAGTTATATAGAGTGTTAAAATATGTATATAGCTTAAGAGGTAAACTGCAGAGATCTTATTCTGTAGCTCACTTTACTGTACTTATTTTCTTCTATTATTTTCTATCTATCTATTTAATGTGTCTATCTTTAAGACTATATTCTCTTTTCCTTTGTCATGATATTTTCAAATGATTTCAAAGTATCAGAAGATGTTGAAATACTGTAATTTATAAATAGTTTTTATATTCTGAGCTGAAATTTTCTGATTTTGTATATCTGAAATTGATAAATGTATAATAGTTGACTCTATAGATATAGGAAAAACTCTGAGAACTAAAGATTCTCAGATAGATGTCATAGTCTCTGACTGTATACATCTATAATTATTATTATTATTATTATTCTTCAATTATAGATGTATGCAGTCAGAGACTATGACATCTACCTGAGAACTTTTAGTTCCCAGGGTTTTTTCTATATCTGTAAAGTTAACTATTATACATTCATCAATTTCAGATATGTAAAATCAGAAAATTCCAGCTCAGAATACAAAAATCATTTACAAATTGCAGTGTTTTAACATCTTCTGATACTTTGAAATCATTTGACAATATCATGACAAAGGAAAAGAGAACACAGTCTTAAAGATAGACACATTAAATAGATAGATAGAAAGGAATTGAAAGAAAAAGATAAAGTAAAGAAAGACTGTAACAAAATAAATTATTAAAAGATAGTATATAGCTGTTTTAACAGACTATATCTGGTTGATTTCCTCCTCTTCATATTCAGATAATTCTGAATTTAGCCATTTTCTTGTAGCTGCTTGAGTTTCTGATAGAAAGTCTATTAAGTATTTAATTCCTGTCTGAGTTGAGAATAAGAATCTCATATTTAATTGATTTAGATCATACTTTTCTTTCAATCTGACTCTGAGACTATTGTATAATGCACAGTGTATTACAATATACTCAGGATTCTTATTTATATTGCAGAATGAGCATTCTATTGAGTCAAATCTATAATCAAATCTTTGTATATAAGATTTGAAATAGCCATGTCCTAGT